GAAGGAAACTCTGGTACACTTTCACCTCGAATAGTGCAAATCATCAGTTAATTTGCAAATTATGAATTGGAAAATATTTAGTTTTGTAAACACATAAAATAACGGAGACTTCTGGAGAATGTCGTATTGCGGCGAATGCTACTGATAAGATTTATCAGTGCTATGTAAAGAAAAGTTCGTCAGCATAAAAATATCAAATAGCGGGGAGATACATTTGATTTCAGAGGAGGCAAATTGTACAACGTTGTGGAGATATTTGGGAGGAACACAAAGAAACACAATACCGAGGAAGTTCAGAAGTACCACAACACGGAAATCTGTGCAAATAGTGCGTTTACGACAAGGTATATATAATTTCGCTATACTGAGACACTAATCTCCAAACAAACATTCCTTCACCAAGTCTTCGCCTTCTACGGTTTCAAATGATTCACCGACGAAGTAATTATTCCTAAATTCAATTCTTAATTCGTCATCACTCACTGTAATCTACCTCTTTTGTTCGTGAACTGTCCTTGGAAATGATGATGAGACAGAAACAAAGCTGAGTGCCTGTGATCACATATGAAGATGAAGATCACGTAGAATATGTAACGCTTGGTCTGTTAGTGACTATGCACTAAAGCTTACGACAATAAGAGATATGTTAAACTAATAAATTCAGAGATTTAGTGAGTACCTTGTCCTGGCAACACTTGGTACTCAGGGAAAGGTAATGAAAATTGTGGAAATAAATCTTCCTTTGGTGTAACGATACACCAGTGACTCACTGATTTGAGTGGTTGGGAAAGATAGAGGTATAACGACAGTTGTGCTTGCTGGTCACATCAAAATGATATAAACACCGGGAGACTGTTTCGCTGGTTTAAACGAAGCCCAAAGACAGTTTACCAGGTTTGGTTCCGCTTAGAAAGCCGAATCAGTTTAAACTACCCGACTAAGTGCTCGGGTGAGTCTGCCACACATAGAATCAGAGCCTTCATTTGCATTTTGCGCAGTATGATGTGAGAATTCATCACAAATTCCTTTGAAAAACAAAATATTTAGAGTCCAGTGTATGTTCTACTCAATACCATTAACCCAAATGAAGAAAGTAAGAGAAATAACGTGGTACTTTTGTTTCCAAGGTAATTGTGGTAATTTCCAACTCTTCAAACGACGTCACTTGCAAATGGCGTTTGTTTTCTTTCTAAGTGTAATAAATATATGTCAAGCCGAAAACAGAAACATATCTTCGGGACGCGAAAGGCTGAATTGAGTATTGCACTGGAATTCGGAAACGTTCTTGATCACAGGAGCCACTGTGATGTTAAGTCACTACATCTTATAAAAATTCAAATGAAATTCGAATATCATGTTCTCAGACGTACCAGCGTAAAAAAGGATAATCTTAGGAAAGTGTGTAGATGTAGCCATTTAACTATGTATTCAAGTGTATTTAAAATGGTCACTTTTCATATCCTCTTCATTCCGATTAATTTAGTGAGTGATAGGACATAAAACTGAGAGACAGAGGGTCACGTTGGATGGTTAAAAGTGCTCAAAGAGAAGCCTTGATGCCTGGCTTCCCACTTGCTGACAGTCATCAGCAAGGCGAATCTGAAAACTCGAGTGAATTGGCGTCCTCTCTGAGACTTGAGCTTGCATCATCCAGTGTCAGAGATGTTACTACTGATCTATTATACACGTAGACTGGCTTCCTGTAGGTCTGCAGTGGATATATTTCTTGCTCAATAGGGAGTAATTAGTGTCATGAGTTTAGTTTTCCATGTTGATGTTGACAACTTATTAAGTTGCCAAGTTTGTGATGACTTTTGGATTCATGGAATTCGTAAATCGAGGTATCCCTGACGTGCAGGTTAGTAGTCAAAACTATCCACTGGTACTTGGTTCCTAGTGCTTCATAATTTGCTATCCTTTACGACAATGAATTTTACCTCAAGGTAAGGAAATAGCTAATAAGAAATATTATCTTCACACGTTAACTATACAGTACCTACTGATGTGCTTTGTTGCATCTAATATATATATATATATATACATATATATATATAAGATGGTTGGAGGTAGTCGGCCACAGGAGGCCTTGAACCTACGTTTCGTGCTAAGTGGCACTCACTAGTCAGCAAGGCGCATCCACAATCTTGTTTGAACTCATATCCCTCCTGAGATTCGAACCCGCGTCACCCAGCGCTGTAGTCAGAGTCGTAACCACTGAGCTATTCGGGCTTTCCATTGACCTCATGTAGTACTGTAGTGGATACTTTGATTGGAAACTAGTAACTAGTATGATCTATCTAGTCCTTTGTTTGATGCAGACTGAATTCTATCAGTTAGGTTTGCAATACGGCCACCACCATTCTAGGGAGCTCGCCAACACGGTGCACATTGCTTTGATGATATTAGATGGTTGGAAACAATCTGGAGGAAGTTTTGAACATAGGTTTTGGGCTAGTTGGCACTCGTCAGTCTACATCAGAGAAAGGATCGGACACATCACACTAGTTACTAGTGTCCATTCAAAGTATATATATATATATATATTACGGTCAGTGCTGGGAATGTTGTTTATCAAGGTTATCAAAAATTCGCAGTTACACCATCCATATCAGAGATCATAACTATACCAACATCATCCGCTTGAGCCACAAATCCTCCCAATCGTATATTTATCTACATATTCCAAGGTGTTCTGTTGGAAAGCAGAACTACTTAAAGCCGACAACACCTTGTGTTTCATTATTTAATACTGACTAATGACTCGTTGTTTAAAAAAGCTCATGCTATTGTATACATCTCAGAAATAATTTGTCACAACACATTTGTTTTAATGTTTTCCTTTATTGTTTGGCATACAGGGATCATAATAATGTTGGAAAATGATTAAACTCACTTCGGCTTTTCAAAAAAAGGAACTCTTAGGTACATGCTTCTGTAATTATTCATTAAATGTTAACGAAAAAATCGATACATTGTGCTTAGAGTACACAGAATGATTACAAAAGTATAATGTTAAGTAAAGAAGGGTAGTCAGTCAGTGAGGCTGTGAAGCTACACTGAGTGGAATGGCTAAGACACGTGTTGTTAGTGCCAAGTGCCATCCTTCTTCGATGAGTGATGTTAACTGATGTAAAAAGAAAAGATTTAGGAGTGATTAAACCAAAATTTGGAACAATCCAATAGGTGTTTGACTGTTAGTTCTAGCTAGTTGCGTAGGGAGGTAAAACTGCCTGTTTTGGCTCCTTGAGAATCTAAGATTCAATAAATTTAGACTGTTGATGATATGGTTCAAAAACGTTTCTAAGTGGTGCAGATGCATTCACTCTTTGTAAACTCTCACATCGATTAAATTTACACGTTAACTGATTTAAAATGTGCATTAAAATTTTCAAAAGAATGCTTGCCGACGCTCCAGGAACTTGGTTTTTCGTGTTCGAGAAAATCTCCCAGTATGGCTAAGTAAAGGTGTAGTGAAAACCATCAACAGTTCGATATTAGACCAACTGGTCCAAACTGGCCACAAAGCCAGCATTGAAGAATCCTTCTCCATCATCTACCGGGTGCCAAATAAATTGCCAAAAATCATCGAAGAACTGCATGCTCCAAATAGCAGAGGCTGTAACGATTCCCGTCAAACAACCAGTGCTTTGTGTGCAAAAGAAGCAAGTTCAGCCAGCCATTACTACTGCTCTGGACGGCCTTCAGTAGAGACTATAAATTCATGAATTTGCAATATTATCTTTCCTAATTCCTATGACATTCAGTTTATTGTTATGTTGGTACTAGTGAACTGAATTCTGTTGATATTATTGATTTGATGTTATTTAAACAGCATTAATGTTGTTCATAACACTAATTCATTCACTATAATGCATATATAAACTGTAGAACCTGATGATAAAGTAATCGTAAGGAGTATTCTTTGTTCAGTAACCATTATTTTGGAAATTCACATGTAATTTCCATGTTGGTATTATTTTTCCTGCACATTTCTCCCCTCTTTCTCCTACTTTTGTGTGCTGTGCAGAGTGTGGTGACTTGGACTGGTACACTTCTTCGCTATGTTGGAACTCAGTCAGCCATTAATCAGTACAGCTGTCTAGTAATAAGTATTGATTGAAACCTGTTATCATTTTTTATACATTGCTGATGAGCTCCAAATAATATGAAGCCTAGTTACAAGGATTTCTCTTCATTTAGCTTTAATAACTCAGAAAAACACTTTGGAACTCAATCTTTGATAAGTTACTCTTTCTCCTTCGAGCTTTTCAGTTTTATACTCTGATGTGGTCAGTTTATTTGAGATATCAAACCAGATGGGAAAAACATAAGTTTTTTTTTACAATAAGGTGTACTGAAAGTCACTAACTTTCAGCAGAAGGGGATGAAAACTCAAAAGTGATACAACTACCACAGTATTCACGGATAAAATCACAAATATTCACCAGAATTTTTCCAATGACATGTCTAAAACGAAGCGAAACGAAAATATTGTTTATTTGATTTGTGGAAATTCGAAATTGTTTAAGTTCTGATTCCTGATGAAGTCAATCATGTGTAACTATTGTTTCAAAATATATATAGGAAAGACAAATCCTGTTGAAGGTCATTTACTGTTTATACAATATTCATAACCAGTGGAAATAATTCTGTGTCAGCAAATGTCATTATCCTTCGACTAACAGTGCAATGTGCGTCGGTGGCATAGCGGTTAGGACGCTCGCCGACCATGCACATGGTCCGGGGTTCGATCCCCGGCCAACGCACTCCTTTGCCTCGCTAAGCCAGAAATAATGCTGGTGAAGAGGAAAGGTTGGGCATGAGGCTAGCAACCCCATCCTGTAAAATAAACACTGCTACAGAAACTTCAAGCCTCTAGCTTGAAGCCCTATGTTCCACTGGGGATCATGAAGGGAAAAAAACAGTTGAATAGGGGACTCTTAAATTAATACTAATTGTCGAATACAGTTAAAACACAAATGATGATTAATTTCACTTACTTAAAGATTTAGTCGACATACCAGTTTTATTCAAAACGGTCACCTTCTGAGAAGTTTCTTTAAACTTTGCTTTTGTTTTAGATGAATTTTCATTGGTTAATTTTGATTGAACATTATGCAGCGAATTATTTCTTTTGTGAATTGGATTTTGTTTTATGAAATTATCATTGTCAGTGTTATTATTGCTCATGTCCGAACTTTTTTCTGGTAGACGTTCTGCTGCCTGTAATTCCAATGATCTAGCTGCACGTTGTCCACGATATTCACAATTCCATAAACCAGTATGATCAAGTCTCTCCATATTAATGATATATTGATATTGGAATGTGTTCGCGTTGATACGTTTAAATTGACAACCTTCTATAACTTGGGATACACTATGCGGTATTGTACAACCGTTTTCATTTAACACACAGTTGGGATTACAATCCATATAACAGATGGATGTCGGAAGCTGAAATTTCAAATAAGGCATATAGAAATGCAGAGGTGATAGAAGATAGACAATAATTAGTATAGCTGGATATAAACTTTCAACTGCTAGTATACATTGCTTTACATTTGACTATATCAAGATGTGACGTGAAACTCTTGACATTATGGCAGACGAGTTAACTACTGATGTAACAACACAAGACAAGGACCAGGCAACACATCGTTTATTAACGTGCGTCGGTGGCACAGTGGTTAGGACGCTTGCCGACCATGCACAAGGTCCGAGGTTTGATCCCCGGCCGACGCGCTCCTTTACCTCGCTAAGCCAATAATAGAACTGGCAAACAGGGAAGGATGGGTATGAGGCCAGCAACCCCATCCTGTAAAATAAACACTGCTACAGAAACTTCAAGCCTGTACCTTGAAGCCCTATGTTCCACTGGGAACGTGAAGGAATAAAAAAGAAGCATGTACCACACTCGTCCTCCCATCAAATAGTTTGGACTGAAGTAAGCTTGATCTTGTTGCTGGCGTCATCGTTGGCTTGTCTCGCTCTATCCATTTCTGGAGCTCACTGACGTTCATCTGTTTCTTTTTGTTTACCATTGAGATTGTTTCTGCGTAACCCCATCTCAACGCGACCATATGTGGTCCTTCCCACTTTGGAAACTGTTTGCCTGACCCTATTGCACATTCATCGGTATTTCGCCTCACACTTTCATATGCTGCTTTCTCCTGACCTCCCAGCAGCGTCCCAAGTAGCAGCCGCATCGCTGACGGATCTTGAGTGCCACTCAACTGCGAAGAAGCCTCGAAGTCCTGCCCAAAGATCCATATGTCTCTATCAAAAACTGCAGGGCATAGGCTTTCTATTTGTCGGTAGGCAGCGACACTAAATGTAACAACAGAAGACAAGGACCAGGCAACAGATCATTTATTTACGAAATCAACAGATATTTATCGATTTACATGTACCATACTGACACATACAGCACCCTTTGGTTTCCAATAAATGACTATCTTAAATCTGAAACACATGACATTTAAATAAATAAAAAAACACAACGGATTGAGCGAAGAAATATATTCCTTTCCAATTAGTTCCTTATTATCGGCTCGTTGATAATGGACATCAAATCGACTCTAACAAAGCTTTTAAAGTTATTTATTGTATATCACCCAACCTCTCGTATAATCTACGAGCACGACTTTTACCTACAGCAGAGACAATCGGAATTCATCTAAACAAGCTAAATCGATGTGTTCAAAAGAAATGTGTACAGACCCTTTCTGTGCCATGGCCAACCACATAAGTTTTTAAAAACAATTTTTTCCCATCCCCTTGTAACTATCTTTTGACTTCGTTAACTTTTACAATTTTTACAATTCCAGCTAATAGTATTAACTTGTTTGTATTTTACGTAACTCTTCTGAGTCATCCTAGTTTTCTTAGTCATTATTATTTTACAAATTTCTTCATTATTGCTAAAGCCTAAGAATCAAATCATCTTGAATTCCCTAATTTATTTTCACCCTTCTTTTCAGATTTCAATATCTTGTTTCTAATATCTATTAGTTATTTTGTTTTTATTTAACTGAGTAATTGTCATGAACTTTATTTTATTATTGTTAACCATGTTAGTTGTAAAGCGGTTGTAAAGAAACTACGAAATGATATCATCTCGCGAAATTTGTCTTCTTAATGCCTTATTCATATTAGTTATTTGTTTTTTTTGATGACCTTTAACCTCTTAATTTTGCCCCCCCAAGCCCAACACCTAAAACAGATTAAATAAAATAATCATTTCATATGAACTGTGATCAAGATTTGACCGGATAGTAGCAAAATAATTGAGCGCTGAGTGAGAAGTAGACATTTATAAAATTATATTTATAAAATCTCAGTGAAATTGAAATGATTAATTCCAACGTTTCGTTCGGCAATCTGGTCCGAACTTCTTCAGGGAAATTAATCGAAATTGACATTACACAGGTTTATATATAAAAGGAACAACTTTAGTTCGGACCAGATTGCCGAACGAAACGTTGGAATTAATCATTTCAATTTCGCTGAGATTTTACAAATATAATTTTATAAAATAATTATTTGATTGGTAAAATGTTTGATGTAAAAAACTATATATCAGTGTAGAACCGATGATGAACTAATTGTAAAGGAGTATAACTCTTCGCTCAGTCTGTTGTTTTTTCTAAATGCGTTAAAGGGAATTTGGAAATTTCAATAACATTACAAACATACTGGAGCTTTCTCATCGGTCAATCAGTAGTTTATTTCAAGATATATAACTGTTTAATTTCAATCAAAGTATTACTCATATTTTGCTCTTCTGTTTCTCATGTTAGTCAGATATTCTATACTACGATAAATTTATATGTTCAAGTCTGATCACGGATTGATATCAGGAGATACTTTGTCAAAGTTTGGGATTTTCTCGCAGTGCGTACCTAGGTTCGATCCTTGATGGGATATTGGGGAAATTGGGCCTTTCTTCAACTAGAAAACGCTCTATCTGCCAAGATTTCCAATAAGATAGATATATATTTTTATATCATAGCTTGATTCCACACTGTATTTTTGGTACAAGTATGGAATTTTCAGCATATGATATCTGTAGCCAAATTATGCAGGCAGACCATTGATATGGGTGTGCGTCGGCAGGGGATCGAACCCCGGACAATGTGTATGGTCGTCGAGAGTCCTAATCGCTGTGCCACCAACGCACATATTGTAGAGATTCTTCTTCTTTTTATTATTATTAGATTGTTACCACCTTGTGTTTGAGGTGGCAAGCTGCAACATTTCGTTCTCCCGACGAATAGGTTAACGCTTTTCAAAGACGTTAATTACAAAATCTGACTGTTTATGCAACATTAGTTGTCGGTGAAAACCAAATAAACAACAAACGATTATGGAACATTTAGTGTGAAAATATTCATCACCTTGGACAACTTTCTGTGGAAAGATAGAAATAGTGTCCACAAGTAATTAGATATAACCAGGTATGAGTAAAAGAGCTACGGCTCATTGGTCTAGTCATTAGCTCACAGACTCAAACCATGCTCCACCTACTGAGAACTGGATAGCCTTGTGATATCAGCAAGTAGTCCTCACACTATAAGTGTGGCTCATTACCAAGTGCATAAATATACAGATATTTGAATTCTTGACTCATACTCATATCATGTATGGATTTAATCTATAACTGAAGTCAAGAATTTTCATAAATAGCCATTGTTGGTGAGTAGAAAAGGACACAACTAGTGGTTATCACCATAACAGTAATCATTTTCAAATACTTTCTACTTAAAAGTAGTATGAATGCAAACGTAAATATCAGTTGGCTTACCTGTGGACATATCAAATATAATGTACTTGTGGGTTTACTTTGTGCTACTGAATCAGAGCTTGCCTTAGTTTGGTTGACAGCAGTCGTATGCAAGACTGATGGGTCATTCTCCTTTGAATTAACTTCACAAGTGATTAATCCTTTGCGATCAGCACGAATACGATAGAAAATATTCATGATGGTTGATGGACTAGGCGGATTAACATCTGAGGTATCACTGTCCATGCGTTTAAAGCGTGAAAGAATTTGAGAGTTTACAGTATGCTGATCTATTTGCAACGGTGTTAAACAATGGAACTGTTGAAAATTGAATAGGTGAATAAGGATGACTGTCCAGTATACAGAAAACTTCAGATGAACTGGTAAACTCGGGGATTTAAGGAATGTTAACATTTTTTTCGTTATTTCCTTTTGTGTCAGTTAAATTCCACACGGTTGAAAAACTATATAAAATAAAAACAAAGAAGGAGTAAATGATGAATAACAATGGGAATATGAAGATCAAAAATATCAAATAGCTATAGAAGATGAATGTCTTTACCCATAACTTCTTTTTTGTTTTCATAATTTAGTCCTTTTTTTGATACATTTGTTAAAAGGTCATGGAGACTCGCGAAGAAGTATCACGCAAACCCTATTATTTAGGCCACATTAAGTGGGTCTCCAAAAATACTAAGTAAGGGGAAAGTGTTAAGACTGGTGGATCACACTTCCGGTATAGAAATATTTAATGGAAGTCATACAGCTGAAATCTAGAATCCGGATATTTTTTAAAGCTATTCGAAAGACTGTGTTAATCTGCGCCAACATATGTAGAACAAGGGCTTTTACCAGCACACTATGGAATCGTATAGCTCATCCGCAGTGTTTTACTTCTATTTATATAGATTTCTTGCTATAAATAATTGTGTAAGTGATTTGATTTTTGATAACAGATTGATATTAGTTACAGAACCACTGAAAACCATGGAATACTGGACAACTGCTCACTGCTAGCTTGAGACTCTCCAGCAGTACACGCCGATTATCCATCAAGGATCAAAAACCGAGGACATTCACGTTAAGATGAGATCTCTGATTATTCAGTTTTTGATTTTTAGGACAACCCAGCAGTCAATATCATGTGTGGGTATTTTTCATCACCTCTAACCTAGTGGACCCCGCCGGTCACGATTTCTTAACAGAACTCCAGGAAACTTAGTCCCGTAGTTAGTCACTAATGTGCCCTAGGTTAGCAAGTAGAAGATAAAAGAGAGAATGGCACGTTAAAAAGGTTGATTAATCGAAAGCCAACATTTACAGGGCAGTCCACTAACTTCAACAGTTGGGTATCCCTAGATAAGAAGAGAAATTTTATCCGTTCTCTATGCTCCAGGATTCAGAAAATTTGCCCTATAAATATGGTCGACATGGAACTGGAAAATCTTTGCAGAACTCTTTTAAATAATGGATATCCTAGAGGGTTCATTGACAGAAACATCAGGAAAGAAACCGTCCCAACCAAAACGTTGACACTGTTACTGAAGTCATGAAAAGTCGTTTATCTAAATGTTTTAAACATTTGGTATTTACCAGTCGAAATATGATTCGATAATGCGTTAGGGATAAACTACCACTTATGTCCACCTCTATGTGCATATACTCATTCACATGCTCGTGTGGAGCTGACTACATTCGACGTTGTAAGTGTGTTTTCCGGTTGGGTTAACGAAGGAAAGATGACGAGGTCTTCAATCTATGAACACATTCTGGAGTCAGGTTATTCAGCCCCACGTGATTTATCCTTCAAAGTTATCTATAGGACCAAATCCAACCACTCCAAAAGCCTACATTTTCTCCCCTTATGCATAGGCAGCCGAAGTTCTAGCTATATATGGACAGAAACCAAAGTTATGTGTTCAAAAACGTTTTATTAAACTCCTTTCTTTACCATGGTCATGGGAATGTTTTCATATTTTATAATATTTTACCTCTTGAATTCATTCCACTTCACTTCGTCTTCGCCGTCTTTACTGTTACTACCATCGTACTCCTAATCTTGAAGGCGACACTTAACCTACCATTTTAAAATCTCTATACCAGTTTACTTATTTAATAATCTTTAAAAGTTTTATAATTCATCCACTTCAACTCTGCCATATTAGTACATCATTTTAATTGTCTTTGTTCTTATCATATGCGCAATATTGACTGAGCAAATTCTAGTGCCACTTAATGCTTTTTTCCGTAATATGAATACAACTGTACACCTTGAAAATGAAGTCGCTGAAAAGAGATATTTCTTAGCTAAAGAAAAAACTGTATCTTTCTTTATGGACTAATGGGTATATCTCGCGATCAGATTAATTTCCAGGTTTTAGTTTTAAGGAGTTTTGATAAATTCATTCTAAAATGTCTGCTTTTCAAAGTAACTCTTCAACGTTGCCATGGTATTTTATCAGGATGATGAGAAAACTGAAACACTGTAGGATAAATGTAATTTCCTACAGGCGATAACGCCTACCTGAAACACCATTGCTAGGTATGACCAACAAGGGATCAATAGACATTAGTACAGACAGATGAACACCATAATAATATTATTTCCCATTTAGACAATGAGTAAGCTAAATGATCGATCGTGTTACAGATTATCTTCCAGCTTTCACAATAGCATAACTGTATAGGAATATTCAACTTTTGGTTTGTAGGGATTTGATTGGTTACAGGATTTCATCATGGTTGTAGAACGATTGGAAAACCATCAGGGAGTATGAGACAGCTGTTTCTCAGCCTAGTTTGGGACTCTTCATCAGTACGTACGGGAATATGTGGGAAATCTTCAATTATTGTAGCAAAACAGCGCATATGATTGTACTGATAGTAAGAAAAAAAAACAAGAGACTAACTTGCGTGACTTCCTGCTGATCAGCTAGCCTTGACTAACTAACTAACTGTATTCTAATCTTTCTTAAATGATTTCTCTGCAATCAGTCAATCAAAATTATCATGTTATGCAACTAAGTAACACAATACACACACACACAAAAAATGGATAATTTCTTATCATTACTACAATTACTTTGATCTTAATTAATCTCAATGGCGTATTGATGAAAATATCACGTCAATTAACTGCATTCATATACAAAATAGAAATATAGCCCCGTGGAAGCGCAAGTCTGTCTATCTAATCTGTCTATCTTTCAGACGATATTTCAAATGGCTTCATAAAGCCACCTTGGTAGTTATAATGAATGTATTTCACATTGTAAAAACACATAAAAGGTATTCAGTATTTAGGCAAATTAATTGAGTATAGTAAGGAATAATGATATTTATTCGCTCTATAAAAAGTAAGATTTAATTAATGATTGCGATTTTTGCAATATAAGTAATGAAAATGTTTTTTAGTCGAGAAACAGCATGTAGCAGTTCACTTTTACATATGCTAGTCAAGTAGTTGTGCTTTTTGCCTTTATTAAACTACTTGTTTATACTCAGAAGGTTTTGTGTTTTCCTGTAAAAAGGCTAGCTGACTTTGACTACAATTGTCTGCGTTCTATCTCCCTTGTTAAGTGGTTTAACAAGATCTGTAGTAATGGGGTTTGGCCTAGAGTATGAGGTAAAATAGTGGAAGTCAACCCATGAAGTTATGAAACTGCCTCTATTGATATGGTTAGAACTTGTGTTACGCATATCAATTAGTCTCCTTGCACGAGTGAAAGGGTAGAGATGGTCAAATCAAAACCTGGAATCAGTCCATGAAGCTTTTGGCTGCTGATATGACCAAGTCATATAAGGAGGTGTAGACTACCTGGTCAGGGTCCTGAGGATTTTAAGAACCAGAGGTTTGAGACTATTATTGGTAGAGCCTAAAACTTATCTCTTTGGCACTGATGTATTCATACTTTTCGTAATCGCCGAGATCCATCAAATTAATATTTTCTCTTATTTTGCTATTTTTTCTCCTGTACATTTCTGCTGGTCATAGTTTGTTTGGATCCTTTTCCTCTCTCTCTCTTTTCAGTCCTTTTGTGCGCTACGTGGAGTTTGACAGCTTTAGCTAGTGCACTTCTTTGCGAAGTCCAATAGTGAAACTCAGTCAGTTAGTTTTTCTAAACGGTAAAAATCTAGGCACAAAGACTGATGTTTTGATTTGATTTTGAATTCAAGACGCGAATGGGATTCTTTTTGAAATGTATCTGTCTCCATTTGAGTGACTGGAAGGCCAATTTAGGCCTGTGCAAGAACTCGCGTGGAATAACGCTGTCGTCCATGCCAAGTAAAATACTAAGTTGCATCATGCTGGAGAGAATAAAGGATGCACTGGATGCAGAACTCCGCTCATACACCAGAAGAACAAGCTAGATTCAGGAAAAGTAGATCATGTGCTGATCAAATCGCTACTCTACGCATTTTCATCAAACAAAGCTGAGAATGTCAGTCAAATCTCTACCTCAACTTAATCGACTTCGAATAGGCCTTCGACAGACAGCGTTGACCGAGAAGAAATTTGGAAACGACTTCAACACTATGGCGTGCTCCAACTGTTTATCAACTTCATTCAGCGGTTGGCTATATGACAATGCCCCGTGCTAAGTGATCTTAGACGGAAAACTCAGCAAGGCGTTTGAAGTGAATACAGGAGTAAGACAAGGCTGTCCACTGCTATCACCCATGATATTCCTAGTTGTAGTAGAATGGTTTATGCGTTAGACTGTGCACAGGGAGCGAGGAGACAGGAATACGCTGGACCACCGATGAGAAGACTCTAGAAGATCTGGATTTCGCATGAGGATGATTTATGTCTAATGTTACTCAAACTCGAAGATTCGCAGGCGAAAACCAACAAACTGGCTGAAGAAGCAGTGAAGACAGGACTTCAGGTGAACGGAGGTGTTGAAGATAATCAACCGACGGCAGCAACAAAAACAACTTGCACCAACCACCATCAACCGGAGAGATTTAACAAAGGTTGCTTCCTTCACTTATCTAGGAAGCATCGTTTCAACCGCAGGCAGCTGGAGCGGATGAAGATGTCGAAGCAGGCCGTCGCTCGAGTGGACTCCAAGTGGGAAGCGGAGAGTTGGTTGTCTTAGGGTGACATGAAGGAGATAGTGTGGGGAGGAGGATATGAAAGATTATGGATATCGTGAGCCTAGCTGAAGAGGACGGCAGAAAATAGAAGAGAGTGGAGATGTGTTGTTGAAGTCCTATGTTCCACTCGGAATCCGAGGGAATAATAATAGAGCCACTGGATGTTAAAATTTATACCTTACAACACTGTTTACAGAGTAGTTGTAAGACACTCAATAAAATTGCGTTCTCTAGGCTCCAGCAGACAAGTAAAACTAGAATGGAAATAATTTTAGCAAAGTCAGCATATAGCTACTTGTTAAAACTGATAACGA